CGCAGGAGGCCGCCGAGGCGCTGCGCAAGGAGGCCGAGCTGGAGGCGGCGCGGCGCGCGCAGGCCGAGCAGGCGGCGCTGCGGCAGAAGCAGCTGGCCGACGCCGAGATGGAGAAGCACAAGAAGTTCGCGGAGCAGACGCTGCGGCAGAAGGCGCAGGTGGAGCAGGAGCTGGCCAAGGTGAAGGTGCAGCTGGACGAGACCGACCACCAGAAGGGCATCCTGGACGAGGAGCTGCAGCGGCTCAAGGAGGAGGTGACCGACGCCGTGCGGCAGAAGGCCCAGGTGGAGGAGGAGCTCCTCAAGGTGCGCGTGCAGATGGAGGAGCTGGCCAAGCTCAAGAGCCGCATCGAGGAGGAGAACAAGGCGCTCATCCTCAAGGACAAGGACAACACGCAGAAGTTCCTGGCCGAGGAGGCCGAGAAGATGAAGCAGGTGGCGGAGGAGGCGGCGCGGCTCAGCGTGGAGGCCCAGGAGGCCGCCCGCCTGCGCAAGCTGGCCGAGGACGACCTGGCGCAGCAGCGCGCGCTGGCCGAGAGGATGCTGAAGGAGAAGATGCAGGCGGTGCAGGAGGCCACGCGGCTGCGGGCCGAGGCCGAGGCGCTGCAGAAGCAGAAGGAGCTGGCGCAGGAGCACGCCAAGCGGCTGCAGGAGGACAAGGAGCAGATGCAGCAGCGSCTGGCCGAGGAGACGGAGGGCTTCCAGAAGACGCTGGAGGCCGAGCGCCGGCGGCAGCTGGAGATGAGCGCCGAGGCCGAGCGCCTCAAGCTGCACGTGGCCGAGATGAGCGCGGCGCAAGCCAGGGCCGAGGAGGAGGCCAAGCGCTTCAAGAGGCAGGCGGAGGAGATCAGCGGCAGGCTGCACGAGACCGAGCTGGCCACGCAGGAGAAGATGACGCTGGTGCACACGCTGGAGATGCAGCGGCAGCAGAGCGACCAGGACGCCGAGAGGCTGCGCGAGGCCATCGCGGAGCTCGAGCAGGAGAAGGAGAAGCTGAAGCAGGAGGCGGCCTCGCTGCAGCAGAAGGCCGAGGAGGTACTGGGGGTGCAGGCGGCGGTGGCCGTCTCTGCCTGGGCGCCCACCGCCGTTGCCGCCGCCGCTGCCRTCCCCGCGCGTCCCGCGGGACACGCGGCCTCCRCAGCCTCCCTCGGGCAAGGAGCTCCCAGCGGGGAGGTCCCGGCCTCGCACCTGAGGCTTCGTGGCCACCGGGGTTGTCCTCCCTCCCTTGCCCCTCTCCTCGCCGCGAGCCCTGCCCGGTGCCGGGGGTCCCCCGCGTGCCCGAGACCCCGACGCCAGCTCTGCCCCGCTAGCTCCTAACCCCCCTCGTGGCGCTTGGGCAGCCCGTCCCACTAACGCGCGACGCGGTGCCGGCCCCGCCGCTCCGCGCTGCTTCTCCTCCCGCTGCTCCGCGCGCCCCGCGCGTTCCGCGGCCGAGCGCCCGCTCTGACMCGCGCTCTCCTCTCGTCCGCCCCAGATGCAGGTGGCCCAGCAGGCGCAGCTGCGCCAGGAGACGCAGATCCTGCAGCAGAGCTTCCTGACGGAGAAGGACGCCCTGCTCCAGAAGGAGAAGTTCATCGAGGAGGAGAAAGCCAAGCTGGAGAAGCTCTTCCAGGACGAGGTGAACAAGGCCAAGAGCCTGAAGGCCGAGCAGGAGCGGCAGCAGCAGGAGATGGAGCAGGAGAAGCAGCAGCTGAAAGCCATGCTGGACGAAGCCAAGAGGCACCAGAAGGAGGCGGAGGAGAACGTGCGGCACAAGCAGGAGGAGCTGCAGCAGCTGGAGAGACGGCGGCAGCAGCAGGAGAAGCTCCTCGAGGAGGAGAACAAGAAGCTCCGGGAGAGGCTTGAGCAGATGCAGGAGGAGCACAGGGCCGCCCTGGCGCAGACGCGCGAGATCATGATCCAGACGGACGAGCTGCCCGCGGAGGCGGCGGTCCCGGCCGCGCCGCTGCCGGACGCCAAGGCCGTGCCCAACGGCAGGGACGTGGTGGACGGCGTGGCGCAGAACGGCGAGCCCGAGTTCGCCTTCGATGGCATCCGCCAGAAGGTGTCCGCAGAGACGCTGGCGGAGGCTGGCATCTTGACCAAGGAGAGCCTGGACAAGCTGGCGAAGGGCGCGGTGAGCGTTGGCGAGCTCGCGCAGAGGGACGACGTCAGGAGGTACCTGCAGGGCAGGAGCAGCATTGCCGGCCTGCTCATCAAGCCCGGCAACCAGAAGATGAGCATTTACGAAGCCATGAAGAGCAAGCTGCTGGCGCCGGGCACCGCGCTGGTGCTGCTGGAAGCGCAGGCCGCCTCGGGCTTCATCGTCGACCCCGTGCGCAACGTGAGGCTCTCGGTGAACGAAGCGGTGAGGGAAGGAGTGATCGGGCCCGAGCTGCACAACAAGCTGCTGTCGGCGGAGCGGGCGGTCACGGGCTACAAGGACCCCTACACGGGGGACAAGATCTCGCTCTTCCAGGCCATGCAGAAGGAGCTCATCGTGAGGGAGCACGGCGTCCGCCTGCTCGAGGCGCAGATCGCCACGGGCGGCATCATCGACCCCGTGCACAGCCACCGCCTGCCCGTGGAGGTGGCCTACCGGCGCGGCTACTTCGACGAGGACATGAACCGCGTSCTCTSCGACSCCWSSGACGACACCAAGGGCTTCTTCGACCCCAACACGCAGGAGAACCTCACCTACCTGCAGCTCATGGAGCGCTGCGTSACCGACCCGGACACGGGGCTCTGCCTCCTGCCGCTCACCGACCAGGCGGCCAAAGCCGGGGAGCTGCTCTACACCGACACGGAAGCCAAGGATGTCTTCAAGAAGGCCACGGTGATGGCGCCGTTTGGCAAGTTCCAAGGGAAGACGGTGACCATCTGGGAGATCATCAACTCGGAGTACTTCACCGAGGACCAAAGGCGGGACCTGATCCAGCAGTACAGGACGGGCAAGATCACCGTGGAGAAGATCATTAAGATCATCATCACGGTCGTGGAGGAAAGCGAGAAGAAGAGCCAGATGCTGTTCGAGGGCCTCCGAGCCCCCGTGCCTGCTGCCGAGCTCTTGGAGAGCAAGGTCCTCACCAAGGACCTCTACAACCAGCTGCAGCAGGGCAAGCGGGCCGTGCAGGACGTGGCGCAGATGGAGTCCGTGAGGCAGTACCTGAGGGGCACGGGCGCCATCGCCGGCGTCCTCGTGGAGTCAACCGGCCAGAAGTTCACCTTCTACGAGGCCTTGAAGAGGAACCTGCTGAAGGCCGAGGTGGCGCTGCCCTTGCTGGAGGCGCAGGCCGCCGCGGGCTTTATCATCGAGCCCGTGAGCAACACGCTCTACTCCGTTGACGAGGCGGTGAAGGCCGAGGCCGTGGGGCCGGAGTTCCACGAGAAGCTGCTGTCCGCGGAGAAGGCCGTGACCGGCTACAAGGACCCCTACACGGGCCAGACCGTGTCCCTCTTCCAGGCCCTCAAGAAGGGCCTCATCCCCACCGAGACCGGCGTGCGCCTGCTGGACGTCCAGCTGGCCACCGGCGGCATCGTYGACCCCGTCCACAGCCACCGGCTCCCGCTTGAGGTGGCCTACAAGCGGGGCTACCTGGACCCCGAGATGAACTCCGCGCTGTCCCAGTTCCTGGAGGAGGCCAAGGTTTTCTACTGCCCCAACACGCAGGAGAACCTCACCTACGGCCAGCTGCAGAAGAGCTGCCGGCGGGACGAGCAGACGGGCCTCTACCTGCTGCCCCTCTCGGACGAGGCCATCCAGTCGCAGCAGGAGGAGGTCTACACGGACGGCCAGGCGAGGGAGTGCCTCGAGAAGGCCACCGTGGAGGTGCCGTCGGGCAGCCTCAAGGGCCGCACCATGACCGTGTGGGAGCTCATCCACTCGGAGTACTTCACCGAGGAGCACAGGCGGGAGCTCCTCCGGCAGTACAAGACGGGCAAGGTGACCGTCGAGAAGATCATCAAGATCATGATCACCATCATCGAGGAGACGGAGACCAAGAGGCAGGAGAAGCTGACCTTCAGCGGCCTGCGGGCGCCGGTGGCTGCCCGCGAGCTGGTGGAGTCCTGCATCCTCAGCGAAGCGCAGTACGAGCAGCTGAAGGAAGGCAAGAAGTCGGTGAAGGACCTCTCGGAGACGGACTCGGTGAAGCGGTACCTGCGGGGCAGCGACTGCATCGCCGGCATCTACGTGGAGGCGACCAAAGAGAAGCTGAACATCTACGAGGCCATGAAGAGGAACCTGCTGAGGCCCAGCACGGCCGTGGTGCTGCTGGAGGCGCAGGCTGCCACCGGCTTCCTCGTGGATCCCGTGAGGAACCGCAGGCTGTGCGTCAACGAGGCGGTGAGGGCGGGCATCGTCGGGCCCGAGCTGCACGAGAAGCTGCTGTCGGCCGAGAAGGCGGTGACGGGCTACAAGGACCCCTACTCGGGCGGCACCATCTCGCTCTTCGAGGCCATGCAGAAGGAGCTCATCGTGAGGGAGCACGGCGTCCGCCTGCTCGAGGCGCAGATCGCCACGGGCGGCATCATCGACCCCGTGCACAGCCACCGCGTGCCCGTGGAGGTGGCCTACCGGCGCGGCTACTTCGACGAGGAGATGAACCAGATCCTCTCCGACCCCTCGGACGACACCAAGGGCTTCTTCGACCCCAACACGCACGAGAACCTCACCTACCGGCAGCTGAAGGAGAGGTGCGTGGAGGACCCCGAGACGGGGCTGCTCCTGCTGCCSCTCCGGGAGCCGGAGAGGCCCGCCGTGGTGGAGACCACGCAGGTGTACACGGAGGCGGAGACGCGCAGGGTGTTTGAGGAGACGCAGGTGGACATCCCCGTGGGCAGCAGGGCGGGCTCCTCCATGACGCTCTGGGAGATCATGAACTCGGACCTGCTGCCCGAGGAGCAGCGGAGGCACCTCATGGAGGAGTTCCAGTCGGGCCGCGTGTCCAAGGAGCGCATGATCATCATCATCATCGAGATCATTGAGAGGACCGAGATCATCCGGCAGCAGAACCTCGCCTCCTACGACTACGTGCGGCGCCGCATCACGGCCGAGGACCTCTACGAGGCCACCATCATCTCCTTGGACATCTACAACCTGCTCAAGCAGGGCTCCAAGACCATCCGGGAGCTGCTGGACATAGAGACCGTGTGGAAACACCTCTACGGGTCGGGCTGCGTCGCCGGCATCTACGTCCCGTCGTCCAAGCAGAAGCTCAGCATCTACCAGGCGCTCAAGAAGGGGCTCATCAGCGCCGAGGTGGCCCGCTCCCTCTTGGAAGCGCAGGCGGCCACGGGCTTCATGATCGATCCCATCAAGAACGAGAGGCTGACGGTGGACGAGGCGGTGAGGAAGGGCGTCGTGGGGCCCGAAATCCACGACCGCCTCCTGTCCGCGGAGCGGGCCGTGACCGGTTACAGAGACCCGTACAGCGAGCAGAAGATCTCCCTCTTCCAGGCCATGAAGAAGGAGCTCATCCCCAGCGAGGAGGCCCTGAAGCTCCTGGACGCCCAGCTCGCCACGGGCGGCGTCGTCGACCCGCACCTGGGCTTCCACCTGCCCCTGGAGGTGGCCTACCAGCGCGGCTTCATCAACAAGGAGACCCACGACATGCTGGCCGAGCCCAGCGAGGTGCGCGCCTACGTGGACCCGTCCACGGACGAGAAGCTGAGCTACACGCAGCTGCTGCGGCGCTGCCGCGCGGACGAGGGCAGCGGGCTGCTGCTGCTGCCGCTCTGCGACGCCCGCCGCCTCACCTTCCGCGGCCTGCGCAAGCAGATCACCGTGGAGGAGCTGGTGCGCTCGCACGTCATGGACGAGGCGACGGCCCAGCGCCTCCAGGAGGGCCTCACCTCCGTGGAGGAGGTCTCCAGGGACCTCAAGAAGTTCCTGGAGGGCACCAGCTGCATCGCCGGCGTCTTCGTGGACTCCACCAAGGAGCGCCTGTCCGTCTACCAGGCCATGAAGAAGGGCATCATCAGGCCGGGCACCGCCTTCGAGCTCCTGGAGGCGCAGGCCGCCACGGGCTACGTCATCGACCCCATCAAGGGGCTCAAGCTGAACGTGGAGGAGGCCGTGCGCATGGGCATCGTGGGCCCCGAGTTCAAGGACAAGCTGCTGTCCGCCGAGCGCGCCGTGACGGGCTACCGCGATCCCTACAGCGGCAAGCTCATCTCCCTCTTCCAGGCCATGAAGAAGGGGCTCATCCTGAAGGACCACGGCATCCGCTTGCTGGAGGCGCAGATCGCCACGGGCGGCATCATCGACCCCGAGGAGAGCCACCGCCTGCCCGTGGAGATGGCCTACAAGAGGGGCCTCTTCGACGAGGAGATGAACGAGATCCTGCTGGACCCCAGCGACGACACCAAGGGCTTCTTCGACCCCAACACCGAGGAGAACCTCACCTACCTGCAGCTCATGGAGCGCTGCGTCACCGACCCGGAGACCGGCCTCTGCCTCCTGCCCCTCAAGGAGAAGAAGCGGGAGAGGAAGACGTCCTCCAAGTCGTCCGTGCGCAAGCGCAGGGTGGTGATCGTGGACCCCGAGACGGGCAAGGAGATGTCGGTGTACGAAGCGTACCGCAAGGGCCTCATCGACCACCAGACCTACCTGGAGCTGTCGGAGCAGGAGTGCGAGTGGGAGGAGATCACCACGTCGTCCTCCGACGGCGTGGTCAAGTCCATGATCATCGACCGGCGCTCGGGCCGCCAGTACGACATCGACGACGCCCTCGGCAAGGGCCTCATCGACCAGTCGGCGCTGGACCAGTACCGCGCGGGCACGCTCTCCATCACCGAGTTCGCCGACATGCTCTCGGGCAACGCGGGCGGCTTCCGCTCGCGCTCCTCCTCCGTGGGCTCGTCCTCCTCGTACACGGCGAGCCCGGCRCCCGGGCGCGCGCCCGCGCCCGCCTGGAGCGACCCCACGGAGGAGACGGGCCCCGTGGCCGGCATCCTGGACACCGACACGCTGGAGAAGGTGTCCGTCACGGAGGCCATGCGCCGCAACCTCGTGGACAACATCACGGGGCAGAGGCTGCTGGAGGCGCAGGCGTGCACGGGGGGCATCATCGACCCGGCCAGCGGCGAGAGGTGCTCGGTGGCCGACGCCGTGAGCAAGGGGCTGGTGGACAAGCTCATGGTGGACCGCATCAACCTGGCGCAGAAGGCCTTCCACGGCTTCGAGGACCCGCGCACCAAGACGCGCATGTCGGCGGCGCAGGCGCTCAAGAAGGGCTGGCTCTACTACGAGGCCGGGCAGCGCTTCCTGGAGGTGCAGTACCTCACGGGCGGCCTCATCGAGCCCGACGCGCGCGGCCGCGTCTCCCTGGACGAGGCGCTGCACAAGGGCACCATCGACGCGCGCACGGCGCAGAAGCTGCGCGACGTGGCCACCTACGCCAAGTACCTCACGTGCCCCAAGACGAAGCTCAAGATCTCCTACAAGGACGCCATGGAGCGCAGCATGATCGAGGAGGGCACCGGCCTCCGCCTCCTGGAGGCCTCGGCGCGCTCCAGCAAGGGCTACTACAGCCCCTACAGCGTGGGCAGCGGCGCCGGCTCGGCGGCCGGCTCGCGCTCGGGCTC